GCGGCAATCACGAACGGACGAGTTAGCACCCATCTACACGCCTTGGTAAACACCATTTTGGGGGGCAACCTTCCAGCACCGGTGGCGGACCTATTGACAGCTTCGCGGCTCATAGCCCTGGCCAAACCTGGTGGGGGGGCTCGACCTATCGCCATCGGCGAATGTATCACTCGGCTGACAGCCAAAGCAGCCCTCGCAGCCATGGGAGAGGCCGCGCGTGCCTTTTTCCTGCCTCTACAGTATGGCGTGGCTGTGCCAGGAGGAGCCGAGGCAGTTATCCACGTGGCGCGGGCGTATCTGGACAAGCTACCCAACAGCCTCGTGCTGCAAACTGACATCTCAAATGCATTCAACAGCATTTCACGGCAGGCTATCGCGACAGCGTTACAAGGACCGGAGTTGTCACCACTACTACCGCTAGTGAAACTGACCTACGGTAACCCGTCGAAATTACTCGTCGATGCGAATTTTGCATCTGACCCACTGATCAGCGAACGGGGCGTGCGTCAAGGGGACCCACTTGGCCCTCTACTGTTTGCCGCGGGAATGCACACGGCACTCCGTGACACTGCTGCAGCATACCCCCAGGTGCTGTGTCTGGCATACGCCGACGATGTCACATTCCTGGGGGAGGCGACAGCCACTGTAGCAGCTTTCAATCATTTCACCGAGAAGCTGGCACACCTGGGGCTAAGACACAATGCACAGAAATGTGCAGCTTGGAGCAGAGAAGCAGCAGTGAAGGATTGGTTGCCGCACGGAGTACCATTTTCCCAGGAAGGCGTTCGCTTGCTCGGAAGTTTTGTGGGGCCTGATAGTGGGGCGTCGCAGTTCCTGTCGGGTCAGCTGCAGGAGATGGCCAAACCTCTGCCACTGCTTGAGAAAGCCGACCCACAAGTAGCCTCGTTATTGCTCACCCGCTGCATTTCGAGGCGCGTGGCATACCTCACCAGAACAACACCGCTTTCCCTTCTGCCTCGCGACACCTGGAGCCAGTGGGGGACAGACCTGCTTGCGACATTACTCACAGCATGCCACATCCGCGTCCCCACCTGCCGAACCGAACAAGCACGTGTCTGGGCGCAGGCCTCTCTGCCGCCGTCTTTAGGGGGGATAGGCATCATTGACCCCCTAATTGAGGGAGTTTACGGGTACGCCGCGAGCTTCACGCAGGCGGCGCTTTTCGTGGCATCATTGGACGGCGCCCCTGAGGGCGCGCTGTCGCAGGCGCGGGACCACATACGGCTGCCTGCAGACGTCGCCACGCCTCTCCACACGTGGCTGTCGGAGTGTGAAGCGGCATTACCAGACGACGCGCGAGAAATTCTGGAGAAAGAGCGGCTGGAGCGATCAGACACAAGGCTACAGCACACATTGGCGCTAAGGGTGCATGGGAGCAGATACGCGGTGCAGATGCAGGCGACTCGGGAAATGGCGGTGAACCCCTTGTGCGGACACACGCAGCGGATGTACTCACTGACTGGGTACGGGACCGGGGATTGGCTGACCGCTATCCCGATTGCGGCCAACAGGAGGATAGGGCCCACTCACTTCTCTAATGCCGTACGTTTCCGGCTGGCCCTCCCCTTCTCTACGCCGAAGAACTGCGACTGTGCAGACCACACCGCCATCACGGACCCCCGCCTCCCTAACCACCTACTCCGCTGCGGCACGGGCAAGCATCGCATCAACACCCACAACGAGCTGCGCGATGCTTGCATTAGCATGGCCCAGGACGCGGGTTTCATCGTTCACAGCGAGTCTTCAGCGCACTGCCCCATTGAGGAACAGACGGCCGATTTCATAATGACAGACCGGAGCAGTGGGGGCGTTTATGTATGCGACGTCACCATCACCGACCCTATAAGCACTAGGGACCCTGAGGCGCAGAAGGGCAGGGGCTGGGCGGCTCGGGAGCAAGCGGACAAGAAAATCCAGCACTACGCCTCCCTGCCAGAGACGGTGACCTTCTTCCCTCTGGCTGTGGACACCTACGGCTGCCCGTGTGCAGAGGTACCAGTCTTCTTGAAGCTCTTGGCGGACACTGCAGCTCGGCGCCACTTCAACGCCGACTCCAAATCGTTCTATGCTGCAAAGTTCCTGCACCAGTTCAGGCAACGCTGGTCTGTGGCCCTGCAAAGGGCCCAATCTGTGGGCCTCCTGCTCAAGCTTGGGGAGGCGGCGGCGGTTGAGAACCCGCCCGTGGGAGGAGTTGGGGATGAGTTGCATCTAGGGGACTACTTTGCAGTGATTGAGCCCCTTGTGGAGTTGTAGATCTGTGTTGCTTGTGACCTGCATGTGTGTTACCTAGGCCGCTATGACTTGCATGCTTGTACTTGACTGCTATATCAATACAAGGACCATTAGAGAGAGAGAGAGAGAGAGAGAGAGAGAGAGAGAGAGAGAGAGAGAGAGAGAGAGAGAGAGAGAGAGAGAGAGAGAGAGGCCACGCAGACATCGTGATGAACAAGGTTGAGGGACCAAGGGATGCACAGGCACCGACCTCCTCGTAAGGCGACCTCCAAGTCATTAAAAAAAAAAAAAAACCCATGCAAGGGCGTCATGGCTGACCCGTGGCCAAGGGAAGTGTTCAAAAAAAAAAAAAAAAAAAAAAAAAAAAAAAAAAAAAAAAAACACCATGCAAGGGCGTCATGGCTGACCAGTGGCCAAGGGAAGTGTAAAAAAAAAACACACAAAAAAACAAGAGGCGACGAGATCGTCTTAGGGTTGCGAAGCAACACTTGTAACATGCGTTAGGTTTTTTATCGACTTCAATAACTTTGATATTTATGAATTAAGACTTGTCAAGTGATTCACAAGTTTATGAGAATGTTGGGATTACAAGCTTCACTTTATTTTATGTGGCGTTCCTCTCGTCGTTCTAGGCGTCAGCAGCATCGTGAAAATGTTACGCGAAGTTTCGTTGGTGTTTGCTGACGTCGACCGATTATTGTTGCTGGACTTCAACCGAACATCTCAGCGCAATTCGGCCGTCAAAACGGATTTGCCAGTGTCGTCGAGGGGGGTCATCGGAGCCGGGCCTGACGAGGCGGGCGACTGACGCGCGTGCGGGCCCGCCAGCCTGGCCCAGGGCTGGGCCGAGCGCACGACCGCCGCCCCGCAGCCCCGCTCCGAAAGTGAACAGCGACCCACGTTACCGGGTGGGGTCGGCGAACTGGTGACACCTTGCGTGAGGGAAAGTAACCCTCGCGCGAAGGCAGCCCACCCGTGCCACCTGCCCGCGAGGTCCTAGTAACCCATCGCGGCCTGCCCGCACGGGCAGGCGAGGGCCTGGCGAAAATTCGGGGCCCCCCTCGGGACACACGACAGTTTCGCGACCCGCTGCGGTGCCGCCACGTGTTCGCCCGTGGGCTCGTATCGTGCGCATGCGAAATTTCGACCGATGCGAAATTAAAACCACTCGCATCGCATGCGCAATATCATCGCGATCCGCTACGAATTCGACACGTGTCGGCCGAAGCAACGCTCCGCGCGCATGCGAATGTGCGTCCCCTCGCCGACCTGGGCCAATGGACGCGAAGTCGACGCTCTACCAAGGCGGAGACGGACCACCTGTGCCACTTGTGCGTGCGCCCTCCGAGCCCTGCCGAGCCAGGCCCCACACCCTTGGGCGATGCTGAACGGGCCTGCGTTAGGGCACCACCTCCTTTTCTTTGTGGAAGGTGGCTTCGCTCCTCATTTTCCGCATCTCGTTTCGATCTTTGGACTTTGCTAGCTCTGCGCCCCCCCCTCAAATCCGTGCTATCATTCCTTAGCCGTCCGCGTCTTCCCTTAGTCGATATGGAGCCGAGCCCCGACGCCGATAAGTCGGCGCCGACTTCGGCTGACTTTCCTCTTTGTCACCGAATGGGTCGCGGTCTCAGCTTCACTTTCGAGTGGAACGACTTCGCCGTCCTTCGCGACCACAAGAAAGAGTTCAACGAGAGATGCTTGGGATTCGGCATCAGGTGGGACTCGAGTGGTCGTAGTGGGCGAATAGGGTAGATGTCGGCGTCGACCAACACTAGATGGGCGCATAGGGTAGATGTCGGCGCCGTTGGGGGTCGCATTGTCGCCGGTTGTCATCAGACTGACGTCGGCGTACGCGGTATTAGGCATAAACCCCGTCCAGGGATGTCGGTCGGCCTAGCAAGCGACGACCACGTACAGTCGGCGCTTTACGTTCGGTAGACGTCGACCTGGTAGCGTTTGCTCACCCGCCCTTATATCATCCCTCATGCCCAATCGTGCGATTAGGTACGCTTGGTTTTGCATTGGGCTGAACGACCAGCGGTTGTGGGTAATTGGAGTCGACCCGCTTCGATCGGCCATGAAGGTCGCCGATCATTCTTGCTTTGCTACAGCTTTCGAAGCTGACATCGCCGCTATCCCGTTAAGAACGACGTGAGTTGTTTCCCCTTTGTCCAGTTATCGTTTTGTTTGGTCGGTCGCATCATCGCTTAATGTTGTGATCGACGCCGTCGTGTATTGCATGTGCAGAGGCGGTCCGCTTCCAGGATCACAATGCAGCATCATAGCCATCCTCTACCCAGGAGATCTGCTGAAGGTTGAGGGACAGGTGTGCACGACCTCGATCCGGCACATCGACCCGCAGACCGGTAAATTGGTCCACCGCGACGAGGCCGTCCGCGTGCTGAAGTAAGTTGTGAATAGTCGTCGATGTCCCGTTTGTTAGTCGCCGACACAAGGTATCACATGCTGACCGCCTCCTTTTACCACGATGCTCCAAGTTATTCCGCACGGCTGTCCTGGCCGAGCTGGGGCGTCCCGGTAGGAAGTGGGACGGGGCGCCGCCATCACAAGCAGTGGTCGAGGACAGGCTTGCCGACTGCGACCACCCTATCCGCGATGTGAGTTGCATGTTTAAGCATTAAAGGGGGTGCACGTTTCTGTATACTCCGCTCATAATGTTCCGCGCTTGCCTGTGTTGTATGCAGAAAGTGCCGGGCACAGTGTCGGACGGGCATGTCGGTACCGCCATGCTTGCCGCGACGTCGTTCGGGTGGGTGGCGAAGCAGATTGACATGCTGACGAGCGAGAAGGGCCGTAGTGGGGTGAGCATCGAGAACATCAAGACAAAGGGGCTGAGGGCTTTGCAAGACAACATGGTGGAGTACATCTGCAAGCGCATCGCCGAAAAACGCTCTGCGGCGCCGACTTCACAAGCCGTCAGCCTCGCCGACGGCGCGGAAAGACAGACGGCGCCCCAAGCAGCAGTTGCCGCCCAGCATCAGGGGACCGCGAGGGTGTCTGCGGAAGGAGGAAACGGTGGTGGAGGAGGCGACGCTGCGGCAGGTGCAGAATGGAAGGAAGAGGAGTCAGGGTCGTCGGAGTCGGGGTCGGGGTCCAAGTCGGAGTCGGAGGAGGAGGACGAGGCGGTGAAGTGGAAGGACGAGGAGGAGGAGGAGAAGGACGGGAATGATGAGGAGGAGGAGGAAGGGAAGGGTGAGGAGGAGGAGGACAGGAAGGATGAGGAGGGGGTGGAGGAAGAGGTGGAGTACAAGGTGGAGTATGTAGACGGTACAGTTGAGGTGGGAGCGGCGGAAGAGGCGGTGGGGCCGGCGGATGAAAGGAAAGAGGAAGAGGAGGATGGCGATGCGGATAATGCTACGAGCAGAGTCGGCAGATGGGGGGAAGGAAAAGGATGAGGTCGGCGTGGAGGCAACGACGGAAAAGGGCTAGGAGGAGGCGGCATGCGAGGAAAGTGGGAAGGTTCTGGTCGACGCCGGCGAAGGGGTGAACATCACGGGCGTGCAGGATACAGAGGAAGCATCTGGTCGGCAGGGTCCTGAACTAGACGACGTCGAGGAGCTGCGACGGGAGAACTGGTTGTTGAGGGCGGAGAACGCTCGGCTGGCAGCGTTGCTCGATGAGGAGAAGGCTCGGTTGGATAGGTTTTTTGTTGGGGTACGTGGACTCTTCGACAAGGTGAATGAGTTGGCCGACCAGGTCGCCGACTCCGACCAGACTGCGGCGGAACGGCTGCGCAACGCGACGTCGGCCATGTCGACGACCATCACGGGCAACATCACCGGCAGCTTCGACGAAGCGTGGAAATTGATGAAGACCTTCGCGGAACAGGCGTCGGCGTGGTTGTTGGACTTCGACAATCCGGAGGGAAAGATGGCATATGCACGCGCCGAGGCGGTCTCCGTCTTGGCCGAACATGTCGATACGGTGGTGGGCGATGCAAAGAGGGGTTTGGAGGAGTACATCTCGAACCACCTAGCCTCCGCGCAGGTCAACATCGCCACCGCTGTGACTCACAAGCTCGCCGTGCAGCCGCCGCCACCGCCTCAGCCCACGCCGCCCGCCCCAACGCCCGCCTTACCGGAGGAGCTCTTGAAGTCGTTCAAGGCAGACATCTCGAAGGCGGTGAAGGAGGCCACCCAACAGTCGTTCCTAGCTTCCGGGATGAAGATCATGACCGAGATGATCGGCACTGTGGCTCCTGGTCGACGTGGGTCGTCGCAGTCGGCCAATGACGCCGATCACGTGCAACGGAGAGAGGCCTACAAGCAGGGCTAGAATAGGACGGGCGGCGGAGACGATGCGGGGAGCGTGGAGCGGAGCAAGGGAGCGGACGGGAGCCGCGGTCCAAGCGCGTTGCCGTCGGCCAATGACGCCGATCAAGCGCAACGGAGGGAGGCCGACAAGCAGGGCCAGAAGAGGACGAGCGGCAGAGACGGTTCGGTGAGCGTAAAGCGGAGCAAGGGAGCGGACGGGAGCCGCGGTCCAGGCGGCTCGAAGCCTGCTGCACAGAGCGTGGTCGACCAGCTGAAGATGAAGGCGGGGTGGAAGGTGATAAGGTCGTCGCACAGCAAGGGAGATGGGAGTGGGGGGGCAGAGGGTGGCACTGCCGACGAGGTTGCCGCTAAAGTCGCGGCATTGGAAGGCCCGCCTTTGGTCGCCGAGCAGACCCATCCTTAGGCGAGCGGTGGGAAAGGCGTGCGCGACAAGGAGATACCAACCTCTCAGACGGCGAAAGATGGCGGCGCCAGAACCGCCAAGGGACCGTCCGTCGCGGTGGCGGGGTCCACGTCGATTCCCCGTAACCCCCCCGCGGCTACCACCGCGCCGGCCGGCCAATCAGGCGCCAACAACGATGGGCCGGCCATTGCGGCCCCTCCAGCTCCAGCAGCCCCATCTGCCGCCAAGGGCGACGCGAAGGCTCCTGTGGCTAAGCGCGATGGTCCGTCAGCAGCTATGGTGCCCGCCGGTGGTAACGCGCTCAGGGAGTTGCTCCACCGCATGGAGACACATCGCATGGACGTGCAGCAGCCTCCCGTGGTCGACGCCGGCCTTGCCAAAACAGCACGTCGCTCTGTCACCCCGCAGGTTGCCGGCACATCGACCGGTGCCCCACCTGCCGCGCCTCAGGTCGCCGCCCGACCGCTTGCGGACCCAAAGTCTGCGTTTCTCCGCGCCCAGTTAGGCGCACACAAAGCGGTAGCTCCACCAGTGACTCAGCCGGAAACCGGTAAAAGCGCGACGCCGACGTCAGTAAACGCGGCCGCACCCACACCCGGTGCAGCTGTGGTCGATGTGGCGGCGGATAAGGGTGTGCGTGCAGCGCTAGCCACCGGCGGCCGAGCCGACAGGCACGCCGACATCGCTGTCATCCAGGCCCATTTCGAGGCTGCAAAACGCCCCGAGCACGCCCCTGCTCTGGCCATCATGGACACGGCGCATGTGGAGCCGTCGGCGACTCACGGAGGGGGTTCGGCGGAGCCGACGCCTGCAACGGATGCTGTCGCCGAGAGAAATGCGGGACGGAAGGGGAAGGACGACACTGGAAAGGGGAAGGCGGTCTCTCAGAGGAGCACGCGGGCGATGTCGGCGGGGAAGGAGATGTCGGACGAGAACGGGAAGAAGGCGGGAGGGAATCAGGACAAGAAGGGCGGCAAGGGTAAGTCGGCAAAGACGAAGGAGGAGGAGGAGGACGAGGCGGTCGGCGAGGGAAAGAAGGAGCATAGACGCAGGGGTCATGGCATCCGCCACGACAAGTCGGGCGACGGGCTAGGTTGGGTGGGCGAGATTAAGGTAAATGTCGAGAATCGATACATCGGCAAGTCGAGAGACAAGATGGAGCTGGCCTACGAGCACTCGATTGCGTACGTCGTCTACGACGGCTACGTGATCAAGGTGCTCATGGACGAGCTCACAGTCTTGAAGCCGGGGGAGTTGGAGGAATGGAAGGGTGTTTGGGAGGAGGTCAAGTTCTTGCCGACCGGGATGTGGACGGTGATGTGGGCCAGAGGCTTGTGCCATCCGAGAGCAAGGTAAGACGGATACCGAACTGCCGAGTGCTGTCGCCTAAAGTCGGTGTCGTTACGCTGATGTTGACGAAGTCGGTGTCGTTTTAATGTGTTTTTGCGGCAGGTTCGACGATATACTCAGCAGGTACCGTGGGTACACGGGTTCGGGTGATGCGCTTCACGACGTGCTCTTGCCGGCGATCTGGTTCCCCGTCGTCGAGAACACGAAGGAAGGCAAGGAGGAGACGGAAGCTTTCATGTCGTCGGCGATGGTAAATCGCGTGTCGATGTGCGCGGCGTATGGGAAGTTCACGGCGAGCGCGGCGTTTGGGAAGGTCGAAGCGAGCGCGGAGGGGAAGGCGGAAGAGAGGACGGAGATGGTAGGCGCGGACGGGGAGGCGGGTGAGAAGACGGAGTTGGCGGCCCAGGCGTGTCAGAATGTTATATTGTCTAGCCTGCAGTGGGGTACTCTATAGCGAGTACAGCCCAATCTAGGGTTTGCTATTTGTACTCAACTGCCTGCTAGTTCAAACCCTCTTTCTGTTCCTAACTTCTGCCTAGCTTGTTTCGACATGCTATCAGAGCAGGTCGACCCCCTTGGGTCGATCCTGTGGGTGGGCCCACCACCTAACTGCTTCCGCTGCTGTTATGCTTCTCGCGCGCCTCGGGCGTGCGTCGTCTTCTTCATGCCGGGCGAAAATTTTTAGGGTTTTCATCCCGCCGTGCGCTCGGGGCGCGCGGCGGTTTTCTGCCCGCCGTGCGCCCCGAGGCGCACGGCGGTTTCCTACCGTGGGGGACCCGCGCGCGCCCCCGCCCTGTCCGACGCGTCGCCCTAGGGGACCCGCGCGCTGCCCCCGCTGCCCCGTCGGTGGTCGCGTCGCCCCGCCACCCCGTCGCGCCGCCCTGGGGAGCCGCGCGCGACCCCCCGCTGCCCCGTCGACAGTCGCGTCGACCAGCTGGAGCCGCGCGCGGCTCCCGATTCCCCGTCGCGCCGTCCCCCTCGCCGTCCCCCGCGCTCCTTCCCCCGTTCCGCCCGTTTTAGGGTTTGGGGGTGGGGAGTGTGGGGGTGGCGGTTGTGGGGGTGCCGGTTGTGTGCCCCGTCCCCTCCTCCTCCTCCTCCTTCGTCTCCCGCTGCTGCAGCTGCCGCTCAGGGGGGTGGTTGTGTGGGGAGCCGAAGGAGTGGTGCTAGGGGGGTGAAGGGGGAGTGGAGCTAGGGGCGCAGCAGGGGGTGTGTGTCGAGGGGTGTGGGACTGTTGGGGGAGATTGAGTGGAGGTTGCCGTCGTGTCGTCCGCAGCGCCTGTATTCCGGGGTTCTGATAGCCACCGGTAGCTCAGAGAGCCGGTTGCACCTGTCGCCCGTGGGTCCGTTGCTCCTGTCGCTGCTGATCAGACGCAGAGCCAGTTACTCCTGTATTCCGGGGCACTTGCTCCCGGTAGCCACTAGCGTTGCACCAGAGCCGTCTGTTGCCCGTGTGTCTGCAGCTTCAGTCGTCGCCTCCCATCTACTCTCCTCTCGCTAGCCCTCCTCCTCCTCACTTGCCCTCAGTGACTGCCTCTACCTTTGCTCATAATTTTATGAACTACTATTATGACTGCTTGTTGTGCTGATTACACCCCACTTTGGCTATGGGGGTGTGTCAGAATGTTATATTGTCTAGCCTGCAGTGGGGTACTCTATAGCGAGTACAGCCCAATCTAGGGTTTGCTATTTGTACTCAACTGCCTGCTAGTTCAAACCCTCTTTCTGTTCCTAACTTCTGCCTAGCTTGTTTCGACAAGGCGTTAGCGGCATCCGCATGCGCCCTATGGTGCTTCGTGGAGACGGGGGCGTCGGTGCTCGGTGTTGTGGGCGAAGGGAAGGCGGCGGCGATGGTTGCAGGTGCGGGGGAGAAGAGGGCCAAGGACTTCAAGAAAGTGATGCACGAGGTGATCGACCTAGCACGCAATAGGGAGGCACCCGCAGGGGAGGTTGCACACAATGTCGCACCGCCGCTGCAACGTCAGGCTGTGGACAAAGCCTTCAAGGAAGGGGTTGTGGGAGTCGAGGCCGACATAATCGCTAGAGCGACGGTCGAGACCTTGGCGTTCTGGGGAATGTGCCCCGTCGTTGGGCCCAAACTTAAAGAGCACGGCATCGATGTGCCGTGTGACACGCAGATGGAGTACGATATGGAGCACAGGGGGAGAAAGGGGGAGAAGGTCAAGCAGGGCAAGGGCAGCAAGAGGAACAAGAGGCAGACGGGCAAGCAGGGCAAGGACAGTACGGATGCGTAGTCGGCGGGCGGAGGTGTGCAGGGTGCTAGGGTGTATAACATGTTGGTATGCCCGGCGCCGATTTTGTTGTAATTCTGATGAATGTTTTCTTCGTAGCGCACAAATCTTTTTTGTATCAGGTTGCTTCACTTTTTGATGATATAAATTACTGTCCTCATAGAAACATGGTAATCGACTTTGAACGCTGAGCCTTGTCGGCGCATATGTCGACATCATAGAAACATGCTACTCGGCGATGAGCTTTGGCGGCGAATATGTCGACATCATAGACAGATGCTACTCGGCGATGAGCGATTTTTCCTACAAGACGTCGACACCGACTTGTGTTTGGCTGTCTGCAAGGATAGTATTTTTGTTTCTTACTGAGCGAGCGACAACATTCTCCGTAGCGGGATCAAAGTAGGTTCGCAAGGACCTTGCTGTGGGTTGTTTACAAACTACCGGAACAGTATTTTAAGATAGGGGGGGTGGGGGGGGGGGGGGGACGGCTTTAAGTCTGCCACAATTAACACATCAAACTACGCTGACGCATATCCTACAAGGGTCTTCATGCCGTCTTCTTGCGCTTGGTCGGAGGACGGTGCACCGGCTCGGTCGGCTTGGCCGATGCTGTCGACTTGGTCAGTGCGGTCGGCTTCGCCAGGCCGGCCATCGTCTTCGGCATCTGCTCCTCCCAAGTGTCTAGAAACAGGGCAGCGACCCAATCACTCGACTTCAGGTTGAGCGCCACAAGCGCACAGGCCAGGCGTAGCTTCGAGACCACCTTGGGGCCCAGCCCCTTGACTCCCATGCCAGGCTCTTTGGACAACGTCGGTGCCGTTCCCGGTTTGAGCACCGTGAGGGCATCCCAGAAGGTCCCGATGCCTGGTTTCGCGATCTTATGCAGTTCATCGACCACGGCCTCGGTGTCGGCGTCGCCGTCGCTCGCGCGTAGCTGGCGCACCGCATCCATGACCTTCAGCATTCGGCGCACCCTCATGTTGAGTGCACCCTGCGTCGCGCCTTTGAGGAGGGTGTGGCGGTCGACGAAGCCTGGCTCAGCGACCCTGTCGTTGGCGGTGGCGGAGTTCTAGAGGCGCCAAGCGTCCCTCACAGTCTTTGCCTCCCGCCACGGTTGCACCACGTTGAGCTCGTAACTAGCCTCCTCGTCCGTCTGTGGGGGTGGCGGGGGTTTCTCGTCCCCTCTGTCAGCTCCGGCTCCCGTGTTGGCCGAATTCGCCGAGCCACCCTCGCTGGGAGCCTGCGCGGTAGCCGGCGGCGGGGCCTCCGGCACTCTCCGTACTTCTTACACACGGAGTGCCTCGGTGAGACGGGTCGGCGGTGAGCGACGCGATGGTGTCGTCGCGCTTCTCGAGCTCCTCCTGGAGGTCAATCTTCTCGTTCGCGGTGCGCTCTCTCCTTCTTCAGCGTCGCCTTGAGGGACATGTTGTAGTACTGGTGTCCAAGCGGACAGAGATTTCTTGCAGCGGTAGGACAAAGACGTTAGCTGCGATGTGGTTTGGACTACACTCCATACAGCTCGTCGCCGACATTATTGTCGACTTACCTCTGCCTCAATTTCGGTCGGGTCCCGACACTTGTTGATCGTCTCGGTGTCAACCTTCTCGACCCGTTTCGCCCAGTGCTGGAAGAGGGGGATCCGGCAGAGCTTGGAACCTTGGACGTACGGGTGCCATGGTGTGCGGACTAGCTTCACCGCTAGGTCCTCGGCGACGATGCGGCGCAGCATCTGGAGTGTGCGCGAGAAGTGCACGGCGGCCTTGTCGGCGTCAGACCCCTTGGCAGCGAGCCCTTCCGCCAGCAAATCGTCATGTGTATTGGGTGTTCAGGTACGGTCGGCAACACGACACGAAGACAAGACTACGTCGGCGTCGCTTAACATACCTCCTTCAGCATGTCGTCGACGCCGGGGAATATGTGCTCGGCGAGGAGCTTCAGGAGCTTCTCGGAGGGCGGCACCCTGCTCCGACCCAAGAAGTAGTCCTGCTTGTAACCAGAGTACCCGGCCTTCTTCATCACCACCCCCACCGGAATGGCGGTGATGTACGCCCGCGTCATCTTGTCGAGCGCCCAGTGACCCAGCTCCGCGATCTCGGCGCGCGGCGATTGGCCAGCTCCTGGGCCCCTCCTGCTCGAGCGGCGTGCAGATTCCTTTTGCAGAACACCCCGTTCTTGTCCCACAACTGCCGCGTCCAGCGTTGGTGGCTTGCCGCAGAGAGCTCCCCTTGGTCGGTGTCGTTTCGTTCAAAGAAGAGGTGCTTCTTGTACCAGCTCGCGCGTGTGCGGGTGTCCATCGACCGGCGGAATGAGGTCGACGCCGTGAAACTGGCCGATCTGGTCTAGGATGAAGTGCAACCACAGGCCCGTCTAGCCGACGGCGCATAACTCCGCTTCGAGGTGTCGCGCCGCGTAGCTCTGCTGCAGATGCGCATCCTTGGACGTCTTCGAGTTCCACGCAGCGATGACCATGGCGACCGGCTGGTTCTCCAGGTTCACCAACAAGGTGCTCGCCAGTCGGTACAAGAAGATGTCGGGGAGCGTGATCTCGCGGATGCTTGCACCGCGCAGGAGAGAGTGGTGGGAGAGTAGCGTGAGCACCTTCAAGAGCAGAAACCTCCACAGCCTCGGGGAAGGACCCGTACCCCGCGGGTTCCACGCCTTGGCCGCCCACGTCGGCAGCACCCTCATCATGATCTGGCGAAACTGTTCGGCGGTGTAGGTATCGCCGAGGGTTCCTCGACGCCGATCGGCGCAATTCCTGCCCACAAAGCCAAGTGTAACAGTTATTCAGGGCGGCGTCGACTTCAGAGTGTGGACGACATAGATTGAACCTCAACTTACTTGATGTCCCGCTCGTTCTTGGTGCGGATCATGAACCGCACCTCCGACCTGACCACCGATATCTCCCGCATGATGCTCAGCTCCGTCTCCCGGTAGAGCGTCGCCTCCACTCTTGCCACCATCTGGCATGCCTTTATGCGCCCGAGGAGCGTGTGCACCGTTGTAGATTGCACAGGCTGGGTTCGCGCGGCGTTGTTCCCCTCCTCGATGGAGTCGGCATCGAGCTTACACTCACACACCATGAACTTCACGTATGCGCGAAGCCGGGTCTTGGTGACCCTAGGGCCGTGCAGCCACACGTACGCCCGGGGGACATCGGCCTCCTGGTCCCAATTCTTCTTCTTGTTGTCCCGGATGTAGTGGCCTATCTCGTCGACGTGCTTAAGCTTGTACTCCTGGGGAAGTTCGTTGCGAATTTGCCTCAACATCTTCGCCGCCCACCTCTTGTAGTGATAGATCCACGAGGTGTACTGCCTCAGCGTGCTGTTCTTCTCCAAGGTTTGCAGGTGGCGTAGGGCGTCCATGACGAGCACGTCGATGCACGCGTACACCATGTCTTCTTCGACAAAGTCTGTCGCCCTCCACTGTTCGCGCGGCACCGACATGTTCTCCTGGTCCTCATCCTCGTACTGTTCGAGCAGTGTATCTGTGTATTCAAGTTCCCGCCTGAGTCGTTCTTCCAATGTGCGCAGATTAGTGCTAGGTGGACGGTCGTCGTTTTCGTCATCGCTTTCCTCCTCCTCCTCCTCCTCCTCCTCCTCCTCCTCCTCCTCCTCCTCATCCTCCTCCTCCTCCTCCTCATTAACCTGGTTTCCAGAGCTGGCCGGTGCCGACGAAGTTCCTGGCTGTCCATTTTGTGTCGAAGTCGGTTCTTTTTTCTTGTTGAACTCCCCGATCGGCGGTGGGGGAATGTCCTTGGTGAACTCCCTTTCAGAAATCTCCGTCAGCGCGTCAAGATCGTAGAGTAACGGGAGCGTCTCTTCATCGGTAGATGTAGGATTGTGGTCGGTGGGGGGACTAGCGTCGGACATGTCGACGTCGGCCATATGGCAGCACGTATGTTGCTCTACCTTTGTCCGTGTGCGATGCGGAGGTTGGTAAACCAGAGACGGTACTGAGTCACGGGTGCAGTGTACGCCCGAAGAGTTGCGTGGCGGTCTTCTTCGAATTCTCGCTCAAGTTCGTCTAACTCGGCTTCGACCTCGAGACGTTCCAGCTGCGCCTTGATGTCGGCGTCTACCGAGTCGGCGGGGGGTGGGATGGGTTGCGGCTGTTGGGCTCTAGGGCGACCTCTGGCCATGCGTTGCCGACTTGCTAGGTCAGCCAGGACGTTGATAGTTTGCACCGATGTTGCCCTACAACACCGATGTCGACTTCGACGAGTACTGACCACCGCCGACGTTTTTGGTGGGTGCCAGGTAGAAGCAACTAGTGCCAACTTGATCGAGCAGTCGGCAACCGAGCATCATACAGGCACGATGACAGACAGGCAGATGAAAATTCTAAGTGCACGAGAGAGCAGGAAGAAACGCAGGAACGGACAAGGGAATGAGCACTGGTGCACGGTCACGGAGGGGTATGGTCCTGAGCGACTCCGATGTTGCCGCGGTTCACGCAAACCCCTGTGCTTCTGCCGCCATACATGTGAACTCGTGTGGCGGCGCACTGTCCGACGTGCCACGTGCCAAGCATGGCTAATGGGACGCCGCGCTGCACCCAAGAGGCGCAAACTGTCAAACATTATATATGTTGTGGTTGTTTAGGCTACAGTGGGTTAGCCTTTAGGGGGTACACAATTCTAGGGTTAGGTACTTGTACTCATTTCACTGCTAGTTCAATCATTCCTGTTCGTTCATTCTGACATGGTTTCAGAGCAGGTCCTTCGCTAGGACCGTTTTTTTTAGGGCCCACCGCTACTGCCTACCTACCTACCTACCTGCGCCCTAGTGCACCTCGTTTTTTCACGGCCCCCTAAGGCCCCGCGACCCGCGACCCGCCCCTTAGCGACCCGCGCGCCGCCCCTTACGGCCTCGTCGCCTTCACGCGCCGCCCCTTAGCGGCCCCGTCGGCCCCGCGTTCGCCTCCTAGAGGCCCCTTACGGCCCCGCGCTCGCCCCTAGAGGCCCCTTACGGCCCCGTCGCAGCCCCTTAGCGACCCCGTCGGCCCCACGATCGCCCCTAGCGGCCCCGTCGGCCCCGCGCTCGCCTCCCTATAGGCCCCTTAAGGCCCCGTCGCCGCCCCTTAACGGACCCGTTGGCCCCGAGCTCACCCCTAGAGGCCCCTTACGGCCCCGCGCTCGCCCCTAGAGGCCCCTTACGGCCCCGTCGCCGCCCCCTTAGAGGCCCCTGGTCGGCCCCGCGTTCGCGCCTTAGAGGCCCAGTCGGCCCCACCAGAACTGAGCCGCCCCACGTGCGACCGCCACGGCCCCTCCAGGACCGAGCCGCCCGAACCGAGCCGCCCAGTCCGAGCCGAGCCGCGCGACCCGAACCGAGCCGCGCCGCCCTACCCGAGCCGCGCCGCCCTACCTGAACCGAGCCGCGCCGCCCGTACTGAGCGGTCCTTCTGGACTGAGCCGCCCTACCTGTCTCACACTGCTTACGGCTTCTAGGGTGCTCCCACTGCTACTGCTACTGCTGCTCCTACTGCTCCTATGGCTAGCCCACCTGTGCTAGCTTTCGATGCTGAGGGCCGCCCAGTGAAGTTTGACACCTGGCTAGATGACCTGCACCTCTTCCTACAGCTCACTGCCAAGGAGGACATCTCACTGTACGATCACGCCCTAGGCCATGCCACTGCACCTGCTACTACTGCTGACAGCTCTACCCGCTCACAGTGGCAGACTCGTGACGCCCACGCTCGCTTTGCTATTCGCAACTCCCTGCCGATAGATGAACGCGAGCACTTTGGCCAGCACAAGACTGCGCAGGCACTGTACACTGCTGTCGTTGCCCGCTACTCCTCACCTGCCTCTGCCGCACTAGGCCGTCTCTCGCTTCCCTACCTGTTCCCCGACCTGTCCTCTTTCCACACAGTCGCTGACCTCATCACGCACCTCCGCACTAGTGAGGCTCGCTTCCGCGCCGCTATGCCTGATGAGTTCCTTGCCAAGAACCCCCCCCCCGCTCTGGCTCACTCTCTACCACCTAGTCACCCGCCTCCCTGACACTCTGCGTTCGGTCAGGGACCACTTCCTAGCTCGCTGCCCCACTGAGCTCACCATTGCCCTCCTCGAGAAGGAACTCCTTGCAGCTGAGGCTAGCATAGTCGCTGTAGGTGCCTCTCGTGGCGACCCTCGCACCCCGTTCTTTGAGGGGTGTTCTCCTTCCCCCCTTCTTCCCTCTGTCGCCTCTGCTGCTGCTGTCGACCTCCTTGGTGCTGAGAAGGTCGGGACTGCGTCTGCTTCGAGCGGACGCCGCAGCGGCAAGGGCAAAGGGGGCAAGGGAGGCGGAGGTGACGGCGGGGGAGGCGGTGGTGGGGGTGGTGGCGGCGGTGGGGGTGGTGGCGGGGCTGGAGGGGCGAGTGGCAGCGGTGGGGGTGGTGGCGGCAGCGGCGGGGGAGGTGGCAGGGGCGGGGGCGGTGGTGGGGGTGGCGGTGGACGCGGCGGCGGCAGGGGTTGGGGTGGTCGAGGAGGTGGGGGCGGAGGTGGTGGTCGTGGAGGCGCTGGCGGTGGCCAGAGCCAGCAGCACACTCCGTCGCCCCAGGAGGTCCGTGAGTGGTACTCTCAGCACGGGGGGGGGGGGGGGGGGGGGGGGGCGGGTGGCTTTAGCTGCACGTACGTCATTCGCACTAGTGACCGCACTGGTCAGTCGTGTGGGGGACCGCACGCCACGCAGCGCTGCTTCGCTCGCCTCAACGACGCTTGGCGTGTTCAGTTCCCTCAGGCCACTGAGCTGCCCCGCTGGGTTGATCTCCTGAAGAAGGGGATTGATATCTATGCTCTAGACTTTGATGCTATTCTCACTGCCATGTATGTGATGTCTACTAGTGGAGAGGGTGCTGAGTACCTGTGTGTTCCGCCCGACCCGGGCATCAGGACCAGTCCGGCTGCCGCTCTAGGTGCTAGTGTGTCTGCCGCTTCCGATACTCGCGTGTCTGCTACCCCAGGTGCTGGTGAGGCTGCTGCTCTAGGTGCTTGTGCGTCTGCGCCCCCTGGTACTGAGTCGACTGAGGCACTACACACCTTCACACTGGACTCAGGTGCTTCTCGCTGTTTCTTTCGTGACCGCACTGTCCTTGAGCCACTTGCTCGGCCAGTTGCTGTCTCCCTCGCTGACCCCTCTGGGGGCCCGGTCATTGCGACCTCCTCCACTGTCCTTCCCTGTCCTGCGGTCCCGTCAGGCACACTGTCAGGTCTCCACCTCCCCTCATTCTCTACGAACTTGGTGGCAGGTTGTGCGCTCCAGGACGGGGGTGTTCACCAGTTCACCCCTGCCTACGAGCGTGTGACACACTGCACGTGTGCTCGTACGGGCCGCCACTTGGCTACCTTCACTCGGCAGCCGGGGTCGGACCTGTACACACTGACCACTGAGTCCCCTCAGGTCGCTGCGTCTGCGTCTGCGTCTGCGTCAGGTCAGCTGTCGGCCCCCTGCTCGTGTCGCTCTCTGGCGCACGAGACTGTCCTCTGGCACCACCGACTTGGCCACCCGTCTGTGCAGCGCCTTCGTGCCATGCACTCCCGGTACCTTGTCTCTGGTCTTCCCAGGGTCCTCCCTCCCCTCCCACCCTCGCCTGCTCCTCCCTGTCTGCCCTGTGTCGAGGGGCGGCAACGCGCCGCTCCTCACTCCTCCTCGTTTCCCCCGACGACTGCTCCCTTGCAGACGCTCCACATGGACGTGTGGGGCCCAGCCCGCGTCCGTGGTCAGGGTCAGGAGAGGTACTTCCTGATAGTTGTTGACGACTACTCGCGCTACACCACGGTCTTCCCCTTGCGCACCAACGGTAAGGTCCCTGATGTTTTGATCCCTTGGATCCGCAGAGCTCGTCTCCAGCTCAGCGAGCGTTTCCACTCGGACTTTCCTGTCCTGCGCTTGCACTCTGACAGAGGTGGTGAGTTCTCCTCCGACCTCTTGGCAGCCTACTGTGCTGAGCACGGCATTGAGCAGTTGTTCACGCTTCCGGCCTCTCCACAGCAGAATGGGGTTGCGGAGCGCCGCATTGGCCTAGTCATGGAGGTCGCCCGTACCTCCTTGATCCATGCGGCTGCTCCCCATTTTCCGTGGCCGTTTGCGGTCCGGTACGCTGCGCATCAGCTCAACCTCTGGCCCCGTGTCTCCTTGCCGGAGACCTCGCCCACACTGCTGTGGACGGGGGAGGTTGGCGATGCGTCGCGTTTCCGGGTCTGGGGATCTCGAGCTTTTGTCCGCGATACGTCCACGGACAAGCTCTCCTCCCGCGCTGTTCCCTGTGTCTTCCTTGGCTTTGTCCCTGACGCGTCTGGTTGGCAGTTTTACCACGCCACCTCGCGCCGGGTCCTGCCCTCTCAGGACGTCACTTTTGACGAGTCCGTCCCCTACTACCGCCTCTTCCCCTACCGCACTGCCCCGCTCCCCCCCCCGCCTCTCTTCCTCGCGCCAGGTGCTGCTGTGGTAGACCCCCTCCCCCCTCAGGGTGCCGCTCCCTCAGGTGTGTCCCAGGTAGACCCGGTTGAGCCTGTTGAGGTAGCTGTTGACTCTCGTCCTGCTGCGGGTGCGGAGCCTGGGGGTGCGGAGCCTGGGGGTGCGGAGCCTGCGGTTGCGGAGCCTGGGGGTGCGGAGGCTGCGGGTGCAGAGCCTGGGGGTGTGGAGCCTGGCGGTGCGGAGTCTGGGGGTGCTGAGCCTGGGAGTGCTGAGCCTGAGGGTACTGAGCCTGGGGGTGCTGAGCCTGGGGTTGCTGAGCCGCGGAGTCCGGAGTCTGGGGGTTCTGAGTCTGGGGGTGCTGAGCCTGGGAGTCCTACACCTGGAGGAGCTCTCTCCTCGGAGCAGCTGCGTGAGTGGTACTCACAGTACTGCAGCCTCAGGAGAGGTGCCTCTGGAGCCAGGAGTACTACTGGGACTGGTGCTGGTGCCTCCCCTCCTCAGCGGGAGCTGCCCTCTCTTGAGCGGATCCGTGAGTGGTACGTGTCGGAACAAGCTAGGGAAGAATGATTGAAAAGGAGAGGGTTTGCACTAGCAACAATGGTGGTACAAATAGCTAACCCTAGAAGGGTTGTACTCGCTATAGAGCACCCCACTGCAGGCTAGAGCATAATATTCTGACACACCCCCATAGTCAAAGTGGGGTGTAATCAGCAGAGCAAGCAAAGTAGTACAAGCTCAGGGTGGATCACGATGTCACCACACATTCTGAGCACAAGCAAGAAGCAATAGTTTAAGGTTCACAATTATGAGCAAAGCTAGAGGCAGTCACAGGGGGCAAGTGAGGAGGAGGAGGGCTGGTGAGAGGAGAGTAGATAGGAGGCGACGACTGAAGATGCAGACACACGGGCAACAGACGGCTCTGGTGCGACAACGTGGCTACCGGGAATGAGTGCCCCGGAGTACAGGAGTAACAGGCTCCGCGGCTAATATGCTCGGCAGGAGCAACGGACCCACAGGCGACGGCGCAACCGGCTCTCTGAGCTACCGGGAATGAGTGCCCCGGAGTACAGGCGCTGCGTACGACACGACGGCAACCTCCGCTCAACCTCCCCCAACAGTCCCACACCCCTCGAC